TGATTCTCCTACCTCAGCCTCTCGAGTAGCTGTGATTCCAGGCATGTGCCACCACACCCAGCTAATTTTGTATTTTTAGTAGAGATGGGGTTTCACCATATTGGTCAGGCTGGTCTCAAACTCCTGACCTCAGGCGATCTACCCTCCTTGGCCTCCCAAAGAGCTGGGATTACAGGCGTCAGCACCCGGTGAGAAATTGACATTGAAGTTAAAAATTAAAGAATGAGAAGGGACCAACCATGTGAAAAGCTGAAAGACGGGCATTACAAACAGAAATAAGAGCAAGTGCTAAAATCCTGAAACAGGAAAGAGGTTGGTGTGTTCTAGGAGCGTCGATTGCAGAGGACATTTTTTTTGAGACAGAGTCTCACTGTCACCCAGGCTGGAGTGCAGTTGTGTGATCTCAGCTTACTGCAAACTCGGCCTCCCAGGTTCAAGTGATTCTCCTGCCTCCTGAGTAGCTGGGACCAGGTATGCACCATCACACCTCGCTATTTTTTTTTCAGTAGAGATGGGGTTTCACCATGTTGGCCAGGCTGGTCTCAAAGTCCTCGCCTCAAGTGATCCACCCACCTCGACCTCCCAAAGTGCTGGGATTACAGCCATGAGCCACCAAGCCCAGCCTACAAACTACACTTTGACTGCAGAGTTGTGACTGATGAGATAAAGTACATAGTGCGAAGTTGGTGACTTCAGGCAGGTGTTCCGATCACGCAGGGGTCTTTTTAGCCGTAGCCAGGCACTTGGATTTGTTCTAAAAGGTTGGAAAAACATAGAAGGGTTTTAAAGAGGAGAATGACATGTTCCAATTTCATTTTAGGAATTTACTCTGGTTATGTTGATAATGGAATGTAAGGAAGTTTCCATAAAAGTGGAGAGACCAGTCAGAAAGCCATCAGAGTAAACCAGGAGAGGAAGAACAGTAATGTAAACTGGCACAGTCCCAAGTGAAGATGGGGAAAAGTAAATGAATTCAAGATACATTTGGGAGGTAAAATCCCATCTGGACTGGCTGATGAACTGACAATGAAGGATAAGGGAAAGGAAAAGGATTTTAACTCCCAGACTTCTGACTTCAGTAACTGAGTGAATAATGCTACCATTTACAAGATACAAATAATGGGGGAAATAGCTTGGGAGCGCACAGGGATATTAGACATTCTATTTTGACTGTGCTAAGTTTGAAATGTTTGTAACACAACAAAGTAGAGATATCAGATAAGCAGTTTCAATATAGTAATCTGGGACTTAAATGAAAGGTCTAGTCTTGACATATACATGTAGATATCATTGGCATGAAGCGTTCGAAAGTGGGTAAGATCCCTAAAGTACAGAGTAGATGTGGAGAAGACAGAACGATATTAAGAAACCAAGTTCGAGACAGTAGGAGTGCTCATTGTTACTATGGCATTGCTTCTCCTAGGCTGCCTCACTAACTGAGCTAGGGAAATACATGTATGCATATACATATATAGGTATTTAAACATATACATTTATATATATTATATACATGCATACGTGCATTTACATCTATATTTAGTTATTTATTTTTGAGACAGAGTCTCACTTCTTTGCTCAGGTTGGAGTACCAGAGCATGATCTCAGCTCACTGCAACCTCTGCCTCTCGGGTTCAAGTGATTCTCCTGCCTCAACCTCCCCAGTAGCTGGGATTACAGGAGCACACCACTATACCCTGATAATTTTTTTATTTTTAGTAGAGATGGGGTTTCACCATGATGGCCAGGCTGGTCTTGAACTCCTAACCTCAAGTGATCTGGCGGGCTGGACCCCCCAAAGTGCTGGGATTACAGGTATGAGCCACCACATCCGGCCCTATGTTTATTTTTTTTATCTATTTTTATATATTGAAAACCATAAGTTCACACTGATAGGTTCAATTCTAATCCATTGCCACAGGGCTTATTGTAGCTTTCCCCTTCCATGTTTATACCTCTTTCCTCTGAGATTGAGCAACTTGACTGTCATTATTCTTAATATTCTACTAATTTGCTTAATCTCCCTGCATGTTGCCAATTTCCTGACACCTTTAGGGTACTATCTTGCCAGAACACTCTTCCTTTGCAGGCCTGGCCCCCATGAGGCTACCTTTTGGAGAGAAAGGAAGGAAGGCTCACTTTCCTTATTTAGGTTCTGCACATTAAGTATATTCTTTGGCATTTTATTTGTTTTTTTTTTTTTTTTTTATTTTTAATAAGCATATCTTTTTCACTATATTTTCTGTTCATTGCTTGTATTTGAAAAGGCTACAATATATAGTTTCATTTTTTCATATTTGCCAATTTGAAGTGAAAAAATAGTATGCATTTCATTACTCATTGGTTATTAGTATAATATTGAACATTTTCAAGTGTTTATTATTGATATTAACATATCAAGTGTTATTTATTACTTATTACATATTTTAATTTATGTTTCCACGAATTGTCTGAATCCTTTGTTTTTTTCTACGGAAATCTTTCATTACTTTTTTTTAAAAAATCAACTTTCTTGAGTTCTTTATTATTATTATTATTATTTTGAGACAGGGTTTTGCTCTGACTCCTGGGCTGGAGTGCAGTGGCGTGATCTTGGCTCACTGCAGCCTCCACCACCAGAGCTCAAGTGATCCTCCCTCCTTAGCCTCACAAGTAGCTGAGCGTACAGGCATGCACCTCCACATCTGGCTAATTTTTAAATTTTTTTTTTTAGACATGAGGTTTCACCATATTGCTTGGGCTGGTCTCAAACTCCTGAGCTCAAGCAATCTGCCTGTCTCGGCCTCCCCACGTGCTGGGATTACAGGCATGAGCCACTATGCCAGGCCTTGAGTTCTTTATAAATTCAGGATAATTGTTTGTTGCAAATATTTTCCAAGCTAACTGTTTTAATTTTTCTTCATTTTTTAAATTTGCAGAGTTTTAATTTTTATATGATCAAATATGTTGATCCTTTTCTTTGTCATTTCTTATACTATTTTAAAGCTTCAAACACTCTTTCCTATCCAGAGGTCAGATATTCACCTATGTATTATTTTAGCTAAGCTTTTTAGAAAATTTAAATTTTAACACTGTATCCATCTAGAATTTATTACATTTTTAGCCAATTTGTGGATAATTCAAATATATTAAGAATATTAATCTTTTACCTGTCACAATTGACACAGCTTTTTATTTGCCATTTTAACCTACCTCATTTTGATTTTTAATATGTAGAAGTGTCCTATTTTTTGTTTTTAAATCTACTAATCTTTATTCTAAAGACCCCTCTCCTTTCTTTTCAGCTTAGAATGACTTCCCCTATCCAGAGACTTAATGAACATACACTTATACTTTCTTTTTTATCTTCCTTTTCCACTCCTCTTTTTCTCCTTCTCCTTCTTCTTTAGCATGTGCCTGAAGGCCAGCTTTAAGTAAAACAGAACCACTAACGCAGCCCCAAATCACTTTGGTCTCTTGGGGGTCTTACAGACCAAGAAATACGTGGGATTGAGGTGGATTTTTCTAACACACACTCCCCTCCCTTTCCCTCCTACATAAAAAGCAGTCCAGTGTTGAACTTCCCAATAAGTGTATGTATATCTGACAATTCATAAACTGCTGAAGTGAAAGGTGGCCTTTAGATATTCCGTATATAAATTTAGCCATTTATACAGAGGGAATGAAAAAAAAAATGGCCTGATTCTGATCAGATGCTGCTTGTTTCTCCTTACACCACAGGGTTCTGTTCTATGTCATTTCCTTTGAAGTCAGTGGGAGCTCTGTGCAGGACGGCAACACGAACACCAGCCTCTATACATGAAGGTGAGAACTGCCATTACGATAAACTATTCAGCAGTGTGGTGGAGGGAGCATTGGTTTAACACACTTGGTGGCTACCCTGCAGATCCCACTGTCTGTGAGAGCTTTGTTCAACTGGAGCAAACAAGAACTTTTTGAATTTTGACATACAAGGGCTCATTCAGCAGAGCATCCCGTTATGAGAGGAGGCACAGTGCTGGGCAGACATTGCAGTTTTTAGCCAGCACACTGAGGACATTTCTCTCATTCTCTCCATCTGTAAAGAGTCTGTTTTTAAGACCCTCAAAATGGTTTTCTATAGATTAGAGAGACATATAAATATTTTTACATGTTTGTACCCAATTACACAAAAAGGAAGGCAAAGTGCAATTGTATAAAAGTAGATAGGCCTTTTCAAAATGAAAAGAAAGAATTCTTTGAAAATTTTAGTTGAAGGGGTTATTTGATGAAAAGCAGAGCTCATAATAGAAACAATGAAAAAAACTTTGACATGGAGAAGGTATTGAAAATGAAGAATCATCTATATTTGCTGTCTCAGGAGCATTATTTTGTTCACTGATCAAGAGTGTTTCTCCCTCCACCCCTTGTCACAATGGCTTATGTGCCATTTATTAGAAACCTAAATCAAACAATGCTTTCAGTTTATTAGTCTACAAACATCTGAATGAGAAGTTAAAGACCAAATTGCCCAAGGTGATTTTTTTCCCTCCGCATCCCATCGCCTGACTTTGTAATGGTGGTGCACCCTTCCCAGTTCCTTCACACATCATTCTGCTCCTGTCTCTAGGCCTTGATTTGAGCTGTAGCATATACTCAGCTTCAAGACCCCTCACTTACAAGCACCCCTCCAAGGGCAGTACACTAGTGTTCTGTATTTGTAATTTGTCCTGTGGGATAGCATTGGTGGAGCAGGCATTTCCAACTTATAGTTTTCAATGCTTTTTCAGGACATGCGTATCCATCTCTGTATATAGAATACTTTTTCTTTCTGCAGCCCATCAAGTGGTTAACATATAGACAGTATTTAAATCCTTGGGACTATGGCTGGGCATGGTGGCTCACGCCTGTAATCCTAGCATTTTGGGGGGCTGAGGTGGGTGGATCATCTGAGGTCAGGAGTTCAAGACCAGCCTGGCCATCACGGTGAAACCCCACCTTTAAAAAATAAATAAATAATAAATAAATAAATAAATAAATAAATCCTTGGGACTGGATGAGATTACCAAGGGAGGAAATGTAGATAAACAAGAAGAGAAAGGACTGAGTTCTGGAACACTACAAATTTAAGAGACTGGGGAAAAGAGGAGAAACCCAGAAAATCTACCTTGGAGATCACTTCCGAATAGTACACTGAGAGCAGCATCATTCTTTGAAATAATAGTTATAACGTAATGTTATAGTTATCAACTATTCCAGTATGTGAACATGCCCTTTATTCAAGCAGTTCTCTAATAGTAGCTTCTTAACTGGTCTTCCTGTTTATCCTCATTTCAGTCCATTGTAAATATTGCTTAGGTTAACCTTGGATTAATCTTAGTTATTTATGCCTGGATGAAAAATGGAAAAATTGGACAAGTATAGTATATTGCATTTATATAATGAAATATATTGTAATTCATTAAAAAATCATGTTGAAGAACCATTGTGTTGAATAAATAAAACATAATCCCAGTCTCCACATACACAAACATGCACACACAAAAACATATGACCAGAAATAAAATGCTATACATTTATCCATCAAAGTTTAAAATATTTATGGATGATGGGTTTCCAGGTAATTTTTATTTTTATTTTTTATTTTACATTGATTGATTGATTGAGACAGAGTATCGCTCTGTCACCCAGGCTGGAGTGCAGTGGTGCAATCTCAGCTCAATGCAACCTCTGCATCCTAGGTTCAAAGGATTCTCCTGCCTTAGCCTCTAAGTAGGTGGGATCATAGGTGCATGCCAATTTTTATTCTTTTTTTAATGGTTTTCTGCATTTCGCAAATTTCTTCATAAAAAATAAAGATTTTTAGAAAGCATACTTTAATCATGTTGCTTCACAGGAAACCAGCTTTGATTCTTTATTGCCTAAAAAGATAATGTCCAATTATCTTAATTTAGTAGTCAAGGCCCTTTGGAGTGGAGGCCCACCCTACTTAAAGTTTTCTCCTACTTGGCACAAACCCTTTGTTGCAGTTAAAAGGATTTGCTCAAGGTCTCCTAGATGTGCTTGGTACTTTGCTGCATCTGTACTTTTCTGAATGCTGGGATCCTCTTCATGTCCCTTCTTTTCCTATAATTTCCACAAATCCTTTAAGACATGATTTAAATTCTATCTCTTACCTAGTCCTAAGACCATGAATGAGGGAAGAGGTCTCCAAAAATGAATGACTGTTATTCATTCAGCATTTACCACAGCATCCTTAGCATTCTTATGGTTCCTTAGCCCAGCTAATTTTTGTATTTTTAGTAGAGACGGGGTTTCACCATGTTGATCAGGCTGGTCTCAAACTTCTGACCTCGTGATCTGCCTGCCTCAGCCTCCCAAAGTGCTGGGATTACAGGTGTGAGCCACCGCACCCGGCCACTATGGTTCTTTTTCTATAAGCCCATAATGTATTTCCCTAACTAGCACTTTTATGCACTTAGAGAACTTGTTCTGTAACTTGGAGTTCTTGATATTCCCCTGACCTCCTATGCACAGTGAGTATGCAAGAAACGTTCGTAGCAGTGTAGATCCAGGGTTATTTCAAATAAATATAGTTTTTGAAATTTGAAATAGTTCTGGATCTCTCCCTCTTTTTCTCTCACTCTGTGTGTTCTATGTACATTGAACTTGTTAAAGGAATAACAGATTTTCAGCAGTTAATTTCCTATAAGGGAAAAATGTAAATAAATGTAATTATAAACTATTGCTTAAATATTTTTCCTGCCCCAAAGGTCATTGGTTATTTTTACTTCAGGGAACATTCTCTTTTTACAGTCTCCTGAAATATAATGTAGCTTTACTTTTCTTCTTTATCCCCTGGTCCCAAATATAATCTCCACATGTGCTCTATCTTTGTAGGTGAAATACTTCCTGCCTCCGTGAAATCCAGCTCCCAGTGAATTTCTGTTGGTTTAGAGAGCAACTTGAGGATTTCGCATTTGGCACCATTCAATTTCCTTGGCATCTCTCCATAGTCACCATTTAGAAAGCTCCTGGTCGGTAGGATTTCTCTCCATCATACACTCTGTAGAGATTAAAAAAGGATTGTATTACATGGGCTTGGAAATGTGATGGAAAATGAAATTTGTCTTAGCAAAAATGGAAGCTTTTGAAACTCAAGTCGCTCTAACAGGACCCTTAGACAGGAATAGTTTTTAGGGGAGTAAAATGGCAGATATGGTGTAAGTTCCTTATTTAGATTGCGATTAAGTAAATATCATGATGTATAAAATTGCTCACTCAAAGCCATTTGCAAACAATATGATTACATGTATGTATTCAAAAATATTGGTGTATACATATGGATAAAGCAAGCTCGGATTAAGATCTTAAGAAAGATCATAAGCACTAAAGAGCTTATGGTGCATAGTAAATAGTATTTTACTGTTTAAGATGAAAACCATGTTAAAATTAAGTCAGTATAAGGAAGTCCCAACAGGCTCTGATTTTTTTATTTCTATGCATTTACAAAAACACAAATTTCTTTCTTTTTTTGACATATGTATAAGATCTTTATTATCAAAAGATTCTCTAAGAATTTCACTTTGGTAATTTTTTTTTATTCTACATTGAAATTTTTACCACATTTTTCTTCTGTTTTGTAAATTACTTTAAAATGATTGAAAATCACAAAATTCTTTGAAAAAGTTTTTTGGTGGGGCCAGACACATACATGCCTGTTATTCCTGCTGCTAGGGAGGTTGAAGCAGGAGGATTGTTTGAGCCCAGCAGTTCGAGATCAGCCCAGACAACATTGTGAAACTCCATCTTTGGGGTGCCTTAACCACATAGTTTCATGTTACCACTGGGTTTTCTTTATATGAATATAAATGCACACATAAAGGCCTGGAAAGCAACACACCAAAGCATTTATAGTGGTTACATCTGCAGAGAAGAATGGGCTGGGGAATGGGGAGTGTTAGTGATGAAGAGGTACTTTTAAATTTTACTTAATTTTTTTCCTAATCATCTATAATCAAAATGTAGTCATTTATTACATGCACAACGATTATTCAAGCAATTCTCCTGCCTCAGCCTCCTGAGTAGCTGGAATTACAGGCACGCACCAGCACACCGGCTAATCTTTTTGTACTTTTAGTACAGACGAGTTTTCACTATGTTGGCCACGCTGGTCTCAAACTCCTGACCTTGTGATCTACCTGCTTTGGGCTCCTAAAGTGCTGTGATTACTGGCATGAGCCACTGCGCCTGGCCCCATTATTATTTTTGTTTTTCAGATGTTGTTGCAAGTCATCATCGCTGCTAATGTCCATTGAGCCCTTATAGCCTACCAGCCACTAGCTCAGCGTTCTACATGTATTAATTTGTTGAACTCTCACAAAAATCCTATGAGGTGGGTATTGTTATTATTGTAATTTTTATAGTGAAGAAATAGATGTTGGAGATTGTCTTATACGAGCTGGTCACACAGCTAGCAAGTGATGAGACTGAGATGTGTCACTGGCAGTCTGACTTCAGATTCTGCATAGGAAAGAGAAAGGGAGTAGAACTAGTCAGTGGTTTAAGATATTTACTTGATTTCATAGTTGGTATATATACTTTTGTCTAATTGGGAGGTGACTAAAGCCATCTGTGTCTGGTTGATGTGTTGGTTGAAAATTACTATTATTATGAGGATGATTATTATAGTATTTAGTAATTATGCAGTGCTTTATACTTCAAAGAGCTATGCTTTATAATCATTTATTAGCTATGTCTCACAACAACTCTAAGATATAAAGATGCATTTATCATGCATATTTTGTGGAAAGAGAAGCTGAGACAAGGTAAGATGGGCAGTGTTTTGATAAAAAAGGAGTAAGAGTGGAAGGCAACCTCTTAAATTCCTGATACTACATAATACAATGTGGACAATAGAAATTTAATTAATTTAAACCTTTTAAAGCAGTGTCAGTTCCAATACTTGTTCATGATATTTAATTAAAAATAAAATGTAAAATATGCCAAAGGTTGATAATCATTCCCTTTTAGGTTCTCTATTTTGAGCTTTCTCTGCATTTGTGTCAATGTGACATTTTTGCTCAAATTCAACCTTGACATCTCTCATTTCTCCACGCAAGCACAATTTGACTAGAGATACTGGTTTTCAATGTCAATATTATATGGCTTCAAATTGCTTCCGTTGTTTGTGAAACCACATGCATAGGATTCGTCATGATAACGTTTAATAGAAACAAACTTCATGCAAGAATTATATGGAAATTAAAAGAAGTTTTAGACATCTGGCAGACTGTCCATTTCAAAATGAAGATTATAAACATGTCAATATGACTTGGGGTGGGAAGGGGAAAAGGATCTATGTGGGTTTATTATAGTGACCTATAAAAGGCCTGGAAGAGATTTATGCAGTCTTCTATAAATCTGGTTGTCTCTTTCAGTTGGGAGGCAGTCATGGCCATGGCACATGGAAAAGGATCAATAAATATTAGTTTAGTGGTTATAAATGTGTCTCTGGGGACAGACTGCCTGGATTCTAATCCTGACCCCATCATTTGCTAGCTACCTGAACTAGCTTTGCTTGTGTCTCCATCCAGGGAAAAATTAATTAAAAAAAAAAAAAGAATTATGCCCCATAGGGTTGTTTGTCATCAGATCTATTTAAGTAATTGCTATTATTTGTCTTTTGTCTTTCCAAGGCTGCTGACGAATAAACTTAGCTACAACTCCATTAAAACGTTGGTGGTAATGATATTTATAATTTGATGTCTGCACTTGTCTTGCTTTTTTAGAAATGGTACAATGTGGCCAGGCATGGTGGCTCACACCTGTAATCCCAGCACTTTGTGAGGCCAAGGTGGGCAGATCACCTGCAGTCAAGAGTTCGAGATCAGCCCGGTCCAACATGGTGAAACCTGGTCTCTACTAAAAATATAAAAATTAGCCGGGCATCGTGGTGATCACCTGTAATCCCTGCTACTCAGGAGGCTGAGGCAGGAGAATCACTTGAACCTGGGAGGTTAAGGTTGCAGTGAGCTGAGATCATGCCACTGGACTCCAGCCTGGGCAACAGAATGAGACTCTGTCTCAAAAAAAGAAATGGTACAACATGGTACCCCACAATTGCTACCCCAGAAAAACAATTTAAAATTATCTCAAAATACATTGAATAGTGATGAGCACATGTAAAATCTGTAAGGCAAAATTCTATACTTGATTCTTTAAAACATCCCTATGATCCCATATACCAGTAGTCCCAAACTCTGTCTACCATAAAGATACCACATGTGGGTAAGGCCAGCTCACTGCACTGTTTGAAGAGAGATGCTGCATCTGAACTAAAGTCACTGATGCCTTGTGGATGCATGCCAGATGTCTGCCAGAGTGTTTAAACTTCAAGAGATGCCAGAAGTTGGGAATTTTTTTTTACATGACATTTCTCAATTTTAAAATTTTGATTCAATTTATTTTTTGGTACAAAACTCCCTGGATCCAACAACACACAATCTTTGCCATAAATATTTACACTAATACATATATACTAGTACACTGTGCTATTATTCAAAGCAAATGTTTTTGAGGCATGAATAAAAGATGAGGAAGACAAAATATGAAAAGGTCTTCAGAAACTCCCAAGTGTAGTGGGGAGATAAGCAACAATGTCACAGAAGAGAGTGAAAAGTGTCACAGTAGAATGTGGAAGTTAGAATTTAAGCTTCGTGGTTAGGATCAGGTCTGCATTAAACCAACAAAAACAAAGAACCCCAGTATCTCAAAGCTTGGCAAAAAGTGGACACCCAAGTAGATGGCTCGTTTCTTTAACAAAACACCTTAGTGGATTTTGGGGGTAGGAGCTATGCGTAGACAGGGCCACAGCCTTGCACAGTTCCAGGGGGCATCATTTGTGTTTGTTATCTCTTAAGCATCATTCATGTTGTATTCTTTGTGAATAGTACCCCCTGGAATTGCATAACATGGTGATTGTGTCAATAAAGGTGGCCTGGAGTCTGGCCTGTGATGAGGATTGAGAGTTACATCCTTCTACATAATAAAATAACAGGAATTTTAAGTTTTTCTTAGCAGGTAGAGGCAGGCAGGTAGAGGGACACCTGAAATGGACAAAGGAAAAGGGTTGAGAAAAAAGACAGCTCTAAAATGAGGATGGGCCAGTAATTTGGCAAGAACCTGGAGCTGAATGAGCCTGGTAAGAGATTCCTTGTAATTTTTACAAGAGGTACGTACAATCTCTGTCATCTTCTTCTACCTCCAGGAGACATTGGTCAATGAAGTCAAACACCTTTTTCTTTAGCACTCTTCTTTATGAATCAGGAGACAAATGGGAAAGACTTCACTGTCCAGGATCACACAGCAACAATTGCCCAAACATACAATGCCTTAACAACTTGCCTTTTTACTGCTTTTCTTTAAAAAGCTCAAAGTGCGTACACTTTCATTTCCTCATTTGTTCTGACATTCCAGCGTGGGCAGGGCAGATTTATGGTAACATTATTTATAGATGGAGAATCGAAATAGAGATTAAATCGCTTACTCAATGTTGAATAGCTGGAGTGGTGGAGCCCACATTGGAATTTGGTTCTCCAGGCTCCAGCCACGAAGTGGAAAGGACATGAGTTTTGGAATTAGAGGGATCTTTGTTTGCACAATCCTGATTCTGCTCCTTAACAAGAATATGGCCTTAAGTCAATTACTTCACCTAAGTCTCAGTTATCCTCATCTGTAAAATTAAGACCATAAAACCTCATAGCAATGTAGTGAAGATTAATTTAGAAAACACATGTAAAGCCTTAGCAGAGAGTAATTCTCAAATAAGATCAGTTCCGCCCCCAACCCAGTATTATCTAGTTAAATTTCAGTACAAATTTAATCAAAATGAATCCTTCATTATAGTAATTTTTTCTCGAGTCATCTTTCACTGAGAGCAAAACATGAATAAAAATGCTTCAATGGGTCATTTAATTCAACAGGAAAAACTTTTGCTCCAATAAGGGTTATCCCTATTGGAAATAATTAGAAAAAAAGAGGAATATGTAGACGACAAGATATTAGTTCTTAATAGCTTATGCAGTAGTTCTTAAACTTGACAGTGTATTAGAATCCCCTGCAGGGTCTGTTAAAACACAGATTGCTGGGTCCCACCCCAGAGCTTCTGACTCATAAGGTCTGGGGTGGGACCCAGTAATGTGCATCTGTAACAAGTTCACAGATTATGTTGAGAGGCTTAGTCCGGGGGCTTCTAGGGGTGAGGCCCAGCAATCTGTTTTAACAAGCCCTCCACATGGTTCCGGTGCACTCTCAAATTTGAGAACCACTGGGATAGTGATGAAAAGCATCTGAGAATATGGCTGCAAATTCGAATCCAGACTGCTCCATTTACCAATTAGATGACCAGATTAAATGACTAACCTCTGCATCCCACACAGAGCCTGATAATGTCTGTGATGCAGGATTCCTCTCACTAGCCCTTTAGGCCTTGAGTTAAGAAGAGACGTCAGTGAGTCTTGCCAACCCACGCTGTTTTTTACTTCTTCACACTCTGAGGCACTAAAGGCTGCTTAAATTTGAGTATCATGGAAGTATTTACAAACATTTCCGAGATCACAAAAATAAAATAAGACAGCACTGTAAATAAAGCCAAGAGCAGTGGCATTGTTTGCATCTTAAATTTGTAGTAATAATAGGTTTCAACTTTTTTCATTTCCCCTGCCTTTCATAGTAGAAAAATAAAAACCTTCCCCCACAGTTTCAAGAGATGTTAGTACATTTGTTTTGCAGATAGTATGCATGCTAAGAGGCTTTTTTTCTTTCCCTGCATCTCAGATACAAAATCTGCCTCAGATATTTGGTGCCTTTCTGATTTTGTGGCTGAGGAATCCTTCCCCCGCCCCCTCGCGCGCCCCTTTCCGTCCCTTTTCCCTGTCTGGTACGTAACTCTGTGGGTCCTCATACTATCACTGCACGGAGCTTCACAAGCACCCTTATTTTTCCAGTTGTAAAAACCTCTACTCTTTCTTTGTTATTTCCTTAACTAACTTTTGCTATTGCCTATTGCTGATGAAGTATAAGAATCGTTGACTTTTATCCAGTGCCAGACACTCGGGAAGTGTTTATCATGCATTATCATTTTGGATTCCTACAATACAGAGATGATTTTACAACTTGCCAGGGTGAAAAAAGAAAAGTAAATAAAAGGATCCAAGCAAAAAGATTCCAGATCCCCACCCTAACCCTCCCACCCCCAGCTCTAGCTTCTGCTGAAGTCGCCAGTGATGACAGAATATAGGAATATAGTTTGAGTCCTGACTTTAAATAATTTAAAAATCTTGTTATGGGTAGATGAGATTTATACACATGAATTAAAATAAAATCACGAAGCCAACGTTTGTATCTTTGACCGTTTTTTCTCCCCTGCGAGATGTAGATAATAGCACCAACCCTGAGGAGTTTGGGGATGACTAAATAAGTTAATGCACCCGGAGGGACTTAATACAGTGCCTACCACGTCGTAAGCATTCAGTAAATCTTAACTATTATCATTATGTTTTAAAAGAGGCAGGTTGGAGCGTAGAGTACACTGAAGGGAGTAGGGAGGCCGGCTGTATACCCTGGATTCTTGGACCTCAATCCTCCGAGCCTCGGTTTCCTTATTTGTAAACTTAGGTGGCTGGAGTGAAAAAACTCGAACAGCAGTTATAGCAAAGGGTGCAGCTGTAGCCGGGGGAGCCGGGGAAACCGAGGAGGCGCGGGTCGGAAAGGGTTAGCTAGGAGCCCAGAGGCTGATTTGTGGGCGCCCGGCAAGAGGCCCCGCCCCGCCCTGGAGGCCCGGGCGGCCCTGTCAGCTCCAGCCTGAGAGCAGTTCCGGTGCCAAAACCCTTCCCTCCCCCGCTCCCCCGGAAGTGCTTTCCCAGGGTTCGGGCCGGAGAGAGGCCTTGTAGGCACAGCGGCTGAGGCTCGATCCGCTCCAAGTAGGGGCTCCAGGCCGGGTCGGAGTCCGGGGGTCCGCTCCCGACGACCTGCGCCCTGCTCCCTCTCAGCACCGGGGAGACGGTGAGTGGCCAGGGAAACGGACTGGGACAGCCGCGGGCCCGCGTCAGGACTGGCGCTCTCATGCCCCCGCTGCCCGTTTCGAGATCCGGACTGAGGGCTCGGCTGCCTGGGTCCGGGGAAGTGGGTTGTCGACCGTCGCGGACTTCTCCGGGTCAGCTGGGCGGGAAGAAGCGGGCTGTGGGTCCCTGGGGTGGGCGGGGCGGAGCCAGGGAGGGGGTTCCCAGAGCTGTTGTTGCTGTTGGGACTCGAGAGTGGGGATGGGCTGGGCCTCTGTCCGTCCGACCCCCTCATGCGTTGCTCTCCCAAACCTCGCCGCTCCCGTTTGGTTTTCTGCGTCCCGCCTGGGATACTAGCTGGACAACAGACTGAATCTTGGGCTTCAGTTCCCGACTTTCGCCGTCTCTGGGTCTGTCCCGGGCTCAGTAATTAAACCAGGTCCCAGGGGTGTCGTCTTTTCACTCCAGGGTGGGGCGCTGCCTCTAAATGCCAGGGATCTTTTGCAGGGCTTTTCATCCAGATCTGCTTCAGGGTTGTCCGGGATCGATTTGGACTAGGCTCGGAACCGGTTCTGGATCCGTAGGTCACTGTGGCACCAGCATGCTCTATATCATCTTTACTCACTAGAAAGCTTATTGAAGCTGTTCTTGAAGTAAACTTTAAAAAAAAAAACAGCTTGCTTGAGGAAAATCATTAGTTTAGACAAATCCACCCCTTTTTTGTAGACATATTTAAAAAAAAAAGATGCCGTTCTGCTGTTCTCTAATGTACGCTCTTAATTCCTTTGGCTAACCGATGTCACAGT